GTGACCACTTCCTACCCCTTCTGACCTCTACCCAGTGGTGGAGTGAGACAGCCCTGGCCCTACGTAAGGTATTCCAAGTTGATCCAGACTTCCAAGAAAAGATGTTCGCCCGCCAGATGGCCGTCATGAAGGGCCAGGCCTGGAACGTCGTCGAGACGCTCAAGCTCGCCGATCACGGGCCTCTGGAGCTGACCCGTCGCGCCAAGGTCTGCGTTTGGGACGATCTCGTCGACATACCCGTTGCCTTCCCCATGCGCATGTCTTCCGAGCTGCGCCGCCGTGGGGAACACTCCTCCCTCGACGAGGGCGACATTGGCGTTGCCGCCGCTTCAGCACCCGTTCATGGCCCCGACAGTGACGCCGAGGATCTCCTCGGCTTCGCTAGCCCCCCAGCTGATATGCCGCATCCCGGCCGGTTCGAGATGCCGATGTCGCCTGGCGCCGACGATGCGCAATCGCCGGTGGAAGACTCCCATATGAATGGATCCGGGTACCTTGATCAGCACTCTACGTCGACGCCCCAGCGGCCCAGGATCCCCGTCCCGGGCTTCCGAGAGAGTTACCACGGCCCTTCGCGATCGCTCAACGTGTACGCACCGCAGCGCCAGGGCCAGGGCCCATACACAGGATCTGGCCCGAAGCAGCAGCGTAGGTACTCCTTCGCGACAGCCGCCACGCGCCGCAGCAGCAGCAGCATTGCGCAGCAACTGTACGGTGGCGGTAGCAGGGAATACGATCCCGAGTATGACGGCGATGACGTCGAGGGTGACCTTGGCTATGCCGCAGCCGAGGGCATGGAGGGTAACCATCGCAAGGTCATTGTGGAGCGGCTCGAGCCTGTCAAGGCACGGAATCCTGTCTTTACCTGTTGGTAATCGGATGCCACTGTCCGTTCCTTCGTTGTTGTCGCCCAGGCCAAAAATAAAAGGGGGTCAACGCTGGAGCAGAAGCGGCCAGACACGGGTTCCTTCGTTCCGAAGCTGCAGGCTGTGCTGTCAGGTCAGCTCAGGCGTAACAACGTACGCATCGAGCCGAGTCCGTTCGGGAGTTTTCTTTTCTCAGCCTGCATGCGTTCATGCAGGACTAGGCAGGTGGAAGAAGGAGTTGTGTCAGCATTGGGATGTCAATGGCCATGCATGGCCAACACATTCGGTCTGAGGAGTGCAGTGTGGTTCCGATTTTGGGCTACTTAGAACACGAGAGGAAAGGCGCAGAGAGGGGCCTTGGGTGACATGCATAGTAGACAGCATTGGCAACACGTAGAACCAACAGGGTTATCTTCTTCATTTCCCTTGTTTTCAAGAGCGAGATTCCTCCTTTTCCTCAAATGACCCCATTGGCAGTCTCGATGATCATCGACATGTTTGGGCAAGACATTTTTGGGTGAAACCGTGCGACGCAGAGCTCAGTTGCCCCCCCCCCCCCCCCAACCCCTAATAGGTCCCGGGGCCTGGGCTCGGCGGATGCACGAAAGACAAATCCTTGCGGGGCCCCGCCTCCGATAATCAACCTGAAGGTCTCCTATAACCTGCATGCTTGGGAAGCGGAGCAGTCAGACTCGCGGACATGCACGAAAGTGTCAATTCGTGAGCCTAAGCGGTCTCATTGGAGCAGAGGTGGCTGGCCTCCACCCCCTGGCCTAGAAGGGTACGACGGCGGCATCTGCGTTCAGGTCGCCATCCCTGAATGCGGCTGGAGAGCATCCGATGCTCAGCAAAACGGTTGTTTCAACCATCCAGCCAGCCTTGCGATAGGTGACTGATCAGGTCGCACAATGGGACAAAGACGCTGGCCTGGCTGATCCAGCTGATGGACGGATGCCCCATTACTGGACTGGCTTCACCTCATCTCCTACAGCCTCAATCCGGCTTGTCCGGCCGCTCACAATTTGATGAGATACATGACTTCTCGAACAGGGATCGCTGCAGTAGAAAGTAATGAGGTCCGAGGGGTCGAAATGGTGGCTGCAAAGCAGCGGGCATATGCCCCCAGGACCTCTCCTGGACTTGGGCTCTGTTGCCTCCAGTTCTCAAGGGGTGCGCACAAGAGGTTCTAGAAATATTCTCTGTCCCCTGTAAACACACCAGCTCGGCGGCGAACCTAGCTCCTGGGACGGACAAGCGGGACAAGGGGTGCGTCCCGAGACTTGGGGCCTGTAGGCCAACTCAATTACGTTGCTCGTCTGTTCAGGGCGTTGGACCCAGAGGAATGGTAAGGTCATGGGAGGGGTTGGTGGAAATGCTGGGATGAGGAGGGGGTACACGAAACCCCAATGTGCCAGTGACCGGGGTCCCTGGTCTACTTAGGGACGACCTCCTGCGGCCGTCTGCCAGCTCATCATCATGCCATCCATCCACTCTTTGTGTCTTGCAGCGAACGCCTCGTCGGCGGGGGGAGGAACTCTCAAATCCATTATTGGAGCTGGTCGGATACATGTAAATGGGCCATGGGACCACGGCCCACATCGTCAGCGTATGATATTCGGCGATACGGGCGCTACTCCAGTCGACCTTGGCCACTGGTGGCAGGGCACATGTCCCATGTGCATGAACAGAGTGAGATCGTCGTAGTTCCTCCTATATGTGGTGTTGGCAGCCAGGTAAACATGGAACCAGCCAGCCAGCACATATTGGTGATGGGAAAGAAAACCTGCGCCGACTCGGACCGAGCGTCTTTGCGACCAAGTGGACACATCATCTTGAAATGGATGCCAATTTCGGCTCCTTTTACCTTGCCCGCTCTCCTTTGTCATTCTCTGACCCGCCATCCGATTCCTCTTGCTGAACTCGACGGCTCGTGTCGAGGCGAGCATGGACCAGGCCGAGGTCAAAAATGGACGACCCAGGATCTTGGGCGGTTGGGGGCGCGCCGGCCAGTTGGTACCGGCAGGAAATTTGTGGCTGTCGTCATTTGATTCCCGGAGGACCCACAGCCCAAGCCAACGGGACCGCCGTTACACTGCTTGTCAAGACCTCTCTGTGCGGCGTCGTCTTGTCACGTATGGTGCGTGATCGTTGTGATGGGTTGATCGGCTACCGCGCGAGAAACCACGTTCGCCGAGGGACGTTGACAGGTGGGGTGGGTGGCCCCCCTCCTCGGGTGAAGCATGCTCGTTCAGACCTGCAGCGGCCCGGTGAGGGTGTGCAGATAGAAGCATGTTGAACAGACTGGCGTGCAGACAAGCTTCTCACCACTTCTGCTTCCAGTTCCAAACACATATCGTGACGTTCAGTCGTTGGTCCATCCTCGTTCAGTCTTGGTGGACATCGCAGAAGGGCTTGTAGGTAGCTCAATCCTTCTTCATGTTTGCTGGCTCATGCTGAGCGGAGTCAAATCTGCAAAGCGAGGCAACCGTCTCTGGGCATTCTTCGCTTCTGTGGTATCGTCGGCGGTGTTTGCCCAAGAATACCGTCCTGCCAGCCACAGAATATGTCGTCGTGTCAGTTCTCTGCCGTGTGAAGGCAGCCAAACAAAAAAAAATATGCTAGCCTATACCATCAAGTTGCGCCAGGGCACTACCTTTCAGTACCTAGTTTCTTGTGTTTGCCCAAGACTTAATAAGCCAGCGTCCCACAACGGAAACAAACACATCGAGTGCGGATCCCAAGAAGCCCTGTTCCCTGGCGAGTGGAAACGACGAGACCGTACATCTGTTTTGCATGTTTGATAACCCCTGCTTGTGAAGTATAGCCCATCTTTTCTGTCGGGTACGATGTACTTGGCAGTCCCCCACCGCCGCCCTGCTCATCCTTGCGCTCAGGCCTGGGTTCACCGCATACACATGTACGATGTCCAGGCCCCGACAACCACCTGAGCCAGAACTCCCAAATCGGTGTCTCTGTTCCAGCACAGGTTATTGTAGGAGGTCGACGCAAAGATGCAGAACCCAGGTGCCAAGCTGTCTGCGTCTGCAAAGGACTCAAGATGCTGCACACTAGTTACAGCGAAGGCCACACTCTTTGTCCATGCTGAGAAGTCCAGAGATATCTTTCCCCCCCTCCCCCCATGCAGAACCCGCATCCTTAGCGCCTGCCCACTCACATCAGCGCATACCCAAGGACTCCTTTTTCGCCCCGATCCTCCGTGAGCCCTGTATGACAGTAGGTGTCTTGCGGTGTGTGTGTGTGTGTGTGTGTGTGCCAGATTCGGTTGGCGCGCCTCGAGGTCATCGTTTTCACTCAGCAGCAACAGCTAGCCTGCAGTCGGACCCTCTGGGAGCAAGAACTATGGGTAGCCAGAGATCCGCAGCAGAAGTACGTGCGTTAAAATGGAAATTAGCAGGCCGTGGCCAGGTCTCGAGCCCACCCTTGGATAGAAGACCACGTAGACTGTGGCCTTCATCGCCAATCAGAAGGAAAACCGTCCGAGCGAGAGATGTGGAAACAGGGTATGGTCGTACTGGGCCCAGCCACCTAATGCCACGCTCTTCGTCGTTCTAGAGCCTTCACCTAGTAAAGAAGGTCCCCGAGCAGTGCTTTTACTCAGGATGCCCCCCAGCATCATCTCCCGTGCGTCCACAAACACCCGGCGGCATATTTCCGCCCCCATTTCAATCTTTGTGGATGCTGTACCCTGAGGGGCAAAGCTGCAGAATGCTAATATTGAGGTAACGGCGCCGCATAAAGAGGATGCCGTGCAACAGAAGAAAACCAGCGGCATGGCCCATGTCGGGATTAGCAACGGCATGCATCGTGGGGTATTGGGACCATGTTTGGCCAATCCGACTAACTCGACAGTTTTGAGGGTCCCCTTAACAAGTGCCTTTGGGCCTCTGCGGTTTTCGGGTATCTGCCTGTCCTCTCTGACGCCCTTGTGAGCCCTGGCATGGTTCGTATTTACCTGCCAGACCTGATTGCGCGAGGCCTTTTTGTCGTACCGTCCAGTACTACGCAGCCCAATGCTGGTTCACCCATCATAGAATATTCCTTCCCTTTTTTTGTTTCTTTTATTAGCCATATTCGTGCCTTCGACTTGAGGGAACGAACTTCGTGCGGTCTTTTGGAAGGAGAGATTTCGACTCGGAATACAGAAATGGCCAAGTAAGCCAGATAATCTCGAAATCCTTGCCTTCGAATCCTGACCTTGACGAAGCGAGGATACAGTCCCCCTTGACGAGGCCTATCTGCCAACTGTCATGCACCACGGTCGAGAATATCAACAATTTGCTGTCGACAACTATCATTATTTCGAGCCGATAGATGAGGTGCGCATACGCATGGCACTGGCCAGCTTCCTGCCGTATCGTGCCACGTTGACATGGTTGATTCCAGGACGAGGTTGATCGACTGCACATCCTGCACTGGGTGCTGCTCCAGGCGCTTGACAATCGCTTGCTTCCATCGCAGCTTAGTCGACCACGAAGGGTCCTCGAGTGCGGCTTTGGAGCGGGCGATTGGGCTATAGATGTTGCCAAGGCCTACCCAAACTGCGAGGTACGCGATTCCGTTATCATAGTCTGCACCAGGGTCTGGGCTCCGAAGGATATTTTGGTGAAAGAAAATACGATGTGAAGCGCGTAGACACTCGAATTACCGTTGAGTCAAAACCTTACACCGCGCATCGAGATAGATGGGTCAGCCCGCGGTGGCCACTTCTCAGTGCTCGCCCCCTTCTCCAACACGCTTTGATCAGCCGGAGCATTGGTTCTAACCGATTTGGCAGGTGGTTGCAGTCGACATCTGCCCACACATGTGGCCGCAAGACGAGCTACCAGGCAATCTAAACCTGCAAGTTGATAACGTCAACGAGAGGTGTGAGGAGCAAATGTCTTTGGCGTGCTCCAGCTGACGCGATGAACCAGATTCACGTGGCCCAGAGGTGATTTCGACCTCATCCACAGCCAGATGATGGCAGGTGTCATCGATACGGGACGGTGGCCAAGCTATATTCGAGATATATTCCAGACGCTTCGCAGAGGGGGCTGGTGTCAGATGGTGGAGATATACTTCAATGCGCAATCGGACAATGGAACGTTGACAGATGGTTGGTCCACCACGCTTGTATCTCTGATTGTTGGTGCAGGCGGACTAACGGAAAGTGAGCGCAGACCACGGACTTCGAAGGTGGTCGAGGACTTATATGGAAAGCGTGCAACCGCATAAAGACCCTCGATCGCCGCTTAAAATGGCAAACTGGATGCGCGAAGCAGGCTTCATCGTGTCGCAAGAGCCCAGGCCGATACCTCTGGCAACATGCGGCTGGCCTCGAAGTACGTTCGTGGGGATGGCCTCGGTAAGGAACAGCTGGCTGACGAGCGTCCAGGTTCCGCTCAGCGCGAGATTGGTGTGGCCAATAGGGAGAACGTGCGCAGCTTGTTGTCATCAATGGCAGCGTACCCGATGACGGTATTTCAGGGGTAAGCCATGTTGAGGCCTGGATGCCATGAACGGCCATGGACATTCGTTGGGATCAGCGTCAACTGCTAACCTGCTCTCCCAGCATGGCCTCTGCGGATTTCGAGCTTTTGGTGGCACAAGCGAGAAACGAGGCCGACAATCCGAGGTTCAAGGTGCGTGAATGGTGCTGTTGATATTCGTTCTGGTCTCGACGTTCTTGACGCGGAACGCGATCATATTTGCTGACGATGTGTTAATCTCTGTGATCCTTAGGCATACTTCTCGTTGTGAGTCCATGCTACCATGCCGTCCGGGCTATTGCTGTGCTGACGAGCTCCGATTTAGGTACGTCTGTACAGGCCAAAAGCCACGGTAGGCAAGATTTGCGCGTCCACTGGAAAGGGCCGGTCAGGCGGACGGTATGATGATCACGATGAAATATAGACGGGCACGCAGGTCATTCTGAGGCGTGGAGTGTAGCGAGAAAGCGGCGGATGTGTGTGTGGGAGGGGAAGTGACAGGCGCCAGACGTGTGCCAAGGGTACATACAGAACAACACAAGACTGTGACGATTGGGAATACATTCCAGAAGTGTACGACTCTAACCCGGTGCTGCCACGCCGTGAGAAGGTACTGGGCAGCGGTCTCCTGGTTGCACTTACCTTTCTTGGCTTGCAACGACTGCGCGTCGCCGTTTCGTTGTGGCTCTGATGGGAGACGGACAACAACACTCTACATGCATGAGGGACTAAGAAAGCAAGCACCAAACAGAACCATCAACGGGAAAGAAGAGCGTGAGGCGTCCCTTCCTGTGCAAGGCTTCTGTTCACTTCATTGGGGGGAGCTGGGAAAGTGGAGGGCGCTTGCCAGGCTCGCTACCATTCCCTCGGGACAGCAAGGATCCAGGACGGGGGCAGTCGCAACACACAGTCTCTGGTCAGGCAGACGTAGTCAGTGCTAAGTGTTCTCTGCCACACTGGGTGTGTGCTATGTTGGTAGGTCGTCATCTCAACTCGACGGCTTGGACAACAGACGCAAGTATCGTGATGGGGAAGCGTTGTGTCAGCCTCCCCTTTGAACATCCGGAGCTGGGCCATGCCCTACCAGAGATCTTGATCCATCGTCATGAAGTAGTGCGGCGATGCCATCGTGCTCACTTTCTCCCCATTTCCAAAGGCGATGACTATTGATGTTGACAAGGCAGTTAGCTCACTGGGGCCAGGACATACTCAGAGCTTTGGCTGGTGAACCAATCAGAAAACGCAATTGCCCCCACTCCAAGCCAGATAATGAAGCTATTCAACTTTTTGCGAACATGCTCAATCCGGCGTTCCTTGCCCGACGCCATCAGTGACCCAATCAACTCCAAATTAACCACAGCCAACACCCCAAGCTCTAGAAGCTGCAGACCCGATACCTGCATCGTCCCATTCCTTCCAGCAGTCCACTACCCACGCAAGTCTCGCCTGACTACATACGCTACCACCTCCACCACGACAAAAGCCCGTCATGGCTGCGCGCTTCCCCCTCCGCTGGCTTCAGGCCCTCCGTCCGATCCGCCTCCAGCCCGCCCTCCGCTCCTACCATGTCACCGCCCCCCTCCGCTCCGCCTCCGTCGCCGACGCAGCACCCTCGACGCCCCCCTTTCTCGCGACCCTCAAGGCCGACCTCAAGACGGCCATGCGCGCCAAAGACGCCCAGCGCCTCGCCGTCCTTCGCGCCATCATAACCACGACCAACAACGCCGCCAAGACTGACAGCCCCATCGCCACCGACGCCCAGCTCATCGCCCTGCTGCGCCGCAACATGCGCGCCAACCTCGACGCCGCCGAGCAGGCCCGCGCCGCCCAGCGCGAGGACCTCGCCGAGAAGGAGGATGCCCAGGCCAAGGTGCTGCAGGACTACATCGAGAACAGCGGCGTCAAGCAGGTCACTGAGGCTGAGGTCGTCGAGCTCATCAGCCGTACGATCGACGAGGTCAAGGCTGCGAGCGCCAACGGCAAGTCTTCGCTGGGCGCCGTCATGAAGGGTGTTCAGGGCGCGCTCAAGGGGCGGGCTCTCGAGGTGGAGATGGCGAGAGTCTCGGAACTGGTCAAGGAGGCCATCAACAAGGCGTGAGTGACTGCCTACATGTGGGAATGAAAGAAATGTACAAACACTGTAGTATACAAACACACAAAGAGCGGCGACGGCCGCGCTAGCGACTTGTAGAGTTGACGTCGACGCGTGGCGTAGAATCGCCACTTCAACGATCATCATTTCACCAGATTGGTATCTATCGACATGACTGCTCCCCCTCGCTTCCCAAACGCCTCGCTCGGGGCCCAGCCCGGCACGCGGCCCCAAACATCAAATAGACATGTCCTCGCCTCAGGCGGCGATGTCCTCTTCGTTCCGCAGCCCCGCGTACTCTGTTCCTTGATTCGCGGTGCTGAGGCGCGCGCAAAGACTAAGGAGAACGACTGTCTCCGTGGCAGCATAGTGATTCAGAGCATCCAGGAGGATTTGTAAGTGCCGGCTGAAGTTACCCTCCCACTTTTTCATTATCTCAAAGAGATTGTTGACGCGTGCCTCCTGATCCGTCTGGCTTGAGGCTGATGAGGTCGAATCACCATGCCCGGACGAGCCCTTATGCGTCCGTACGGACTGAAAGACCTTCCACTGGTCGTCTGTCATGTTGGGCGGTTTTCTGGTGCCGCTAAGGTCAGGATCAGCCCGTTCGAGCTCTCGGGAGAGCCAATTGGAGTAGGTCGCAAAGATGGTGCATGTTTGCATAAGCTTGGAATGGATCTGAGAGAGCGTATTAGAACCGTGATCATGACACAGCGATGGGGGAGCATCCACATACCCTGAGGAGCTTGCTGTTGGTTAGCATGCACTCTTTCAAGCAAGTGTCCAGGAAATCCACGTGGTCTTGCATCAGCTCGTCGACCGTCCTCGTTGGGCCTTCTGATGAGTCGCCCTGGTTTTCCTCGTTTGTCTTGATCCTCGACATAAACTTGGTCCAGTTGGGTTCGATGACTTCTGCCGTGCAAAAGTAGAGCAATTGCTGGACGAACACGAGCATGCGGGCGCGTAGTGTCCAGACTCTGCGTTTCCAAATTTCCAAGCTCCTTGACGTGCTTTTATGGGCCCAAGTGACTCCCGAAGTATGGGTATGCCATGTGGTCGACAGTTGCGATTCGAGGTACCTCAGCGAGAGTAGATATCGGAACAAGGCCTGATACCGCCACACTGTCTTGCGACTAATAACCAGTGAGACAGGGAACGGCACTGCATAGTCCAGCTGCAGGGAAGTGAAGCCTAAAGCGTTCTTGTCGTGGTCTGACGGCTGATGAGCCAACGGCTGCAGCGTCTCGCCCTGCTCAATGCCTGTGATATTGACGACTCTCTGCAGAGACTTGGTGAGAGTAATCTCATTCATCTCCACCTTCACATCCTCTTTGAAAGGATCCAACGACACAATGCTGCCTGGTTGGCGCAGCACGAGGTCGAGCAACGATTGCAGCTTGCCGGTATTAACAGACTTGACGGGCTTTCGGAGTTCCGAGGCGCCGAGTTCCAGGAAGTACGAGAAGTAGTCCGAAGGATCCAAGAAGAAGTAGTGCTTCAGGGATCGTAATCGCAGCGGCAGAGAGTGCGTCGTCAGAAGAAGCTGCATGAGCGACTCATTGGCGTGCGCGTAGGCAATATTGACGTTCTCCAAGAATCGGCTGTCGTCAAATGACAGCGGCACATCCTTGACGACCTTGCTGACGTCTACACCGCCACATTCTCTCACAACGTTGAGATATTTGCCGGCCAGAAGAACCTTTTCCTTGACGCCTTCGAGCTGTGGTGGGACGTCATGCTCTCGGATTGTGTATCGTCGTTCCCAGTACTCATCTGTGTAATCCTGCTCGAGCCGTTCCCTCCGAATGCTCTTTTGTTCCTTGACCAGGAACTCCGCATGGGTATCATTGATGCCACCGTGGTGAAGCCACTCGTTCAGCATGACCATGTACGGCCTACTGGCATCTCGTAATAAGGACGTAAGCAAGGCGCGCGCTGCGGGGTCGCCCGACATGGCTTCGAGTCTTTTGGTGATGAGACCTAGCACGACGCCGCCCTTGCATATCTTCTTCCCCGTCATGTTTCCAGCGCCCAAGTCGCCACCTTCTCGAAGGGTTTCGAGGATGTTCTCAAAGTCATCGCCACTGTCGCTTGATTCCTCGTCATCGTCGTCCAGGAGTGCGTTCCGTTTGAGAAGCTCAAGGGCCAAAGAATGAAGCTGCGCCATCATTTGGTTCGTCGGCAGGATGTGGATATTGAGGACATGGAGCGTAAACGTGTCGTTGGTAAGAAATTGGGTTTCCAGCTGAGCAATCATGACGAGGTAGTCCTGGAGAAACTTGCGCACAGAGGCGCACAATGCGTGGTTCACGGCGCCAAACTCCTCCCGACTCTGCACATCGACAAACATCTCCAGCGCCGAGTAATAGCTGGCCATTTTCAGCATCGACATGGTCAGGTCCTGCAGACTGGGGTCAAGGCCAGGGAGGATCCTAAATGTTGGACCAGACAGGCGATCGCGCTCCTCGTGTTGGTTATAGCTCTTCGCGAACCGGATATACTGTCCTTCATAGCCCATGAAGACGAATAGTAAATCCTCCAGGATGGCAGCTTCTTGGGCCTCGAGGGATAGCTCGTTCAGGGGTTTCGGTTGAACAGCTGGAGGCGCCTCGGATGCCAGCGGGGGCACAGATATTCGTGACGCCAGAGGGGCGGATGTGTGTGGTAGCAGGAACGCCTCGGGGCGCCATGGCTCTGCTATGGCTCCAGTCAGTCGGGCGGAACGCGGTCGCTTCGCAGAATACTCAGCATACCTAGCGGCTCGATCCTCGCTTCCTTAGGTTGCGATTCAGCGGTCTTGTGGGATTCTGAGGCCTTGGCCTTTGCACTCGTTGTGGACGGCCGCTCTGCGCGCTGCGGACTCCTCGTTCTCTGTGTCAGGCGCTCGAGCTGGGTGACGAAGGTTCGTTCTGTGCGGCGCTCCTCGATGCGCCGATCCTCGTGTGTCCTGCTCGACGGGCGAGGGTTTCCAGACGCCGTTCTCTTATGCGACGTGCTCTCGAAGCGCCCATCAGGCTGAGGCTGGGCCTGGCGGGAATCGGGTCGCTCATGCCTGTTGCTGCTGGTGAAGCTCCCTTGGGCGTTGCTCATGCGGGGTCTCGGCGGCCTGTCCTGGTCGGCTGGGGCTCCATTTGCGCGGCGGTCGTGGGCTGGTACCCTGGACGACATGTCGCAGGCTGCATTGACATTGAGGAAGCTGCGAGGTAGTCGTTTGCTGGCGTGAGGACCATGCGAGCCTTGTCGGCGCTCAAGAGTATGTGATCGTGAATGTGAGCGTGGGCGTGTTTAGGCGGGGCTCATTGGGTTGTCGCGCGTCAGGCCCAGGGTCAGTCGGGCAAGGCAAGGTACGGCCCAGCACCTGTAGCTACCTGGATCGGTACCTGGGCAGGTACCTGAAGTGCTTTGGGGTCGTCCGCCACAGGAGAGTCGCGTCTTGGCCGGAACATCCTCGCGTCGGTGTGGCAGGTGAATTGATCCGGCGTTAGCGTCAACAGCCCTCCCCACGCCTGCCGCCCTCTGCCTCGCAATCGCCAATCGGAAGCTCGGATCCCTGCAGGGGGATGAGGGGGGGTCTACTGCTCCCTAAGTGACCAAGAGCTTGCGGCTGCGGCTGCGGCTGCGTAGGCTGGCTGCTTGCCTAAGAAACCTCCAGCTGGAGCTCCCCGTCGCCTTCAAGATCTCCAGCGATACGACCACCTCAACCTACGACCTCACGACCAGACGATACCCTCCTTTCCCACCTTTCAAAGCACCAACAATCCTACCTCTGCGAAACACTCCCAGAACACCGCCAAGATGTTTATGGCAAGATCCGAATATGGTACGCCGATTTCATGCCATTCAGCCATGACCGCCTTGCCCTTTTACCCCCCCCCCCCCATCCCATCCCCTGCTCCGTGCTGACGCAAACAGATCGAGGTATCAACACCTTCTCCCCCGAAGGCCGCCTGTTCCAAGTCGAATACTCCCTCGAGGCCATCAAGCTCGGCAGCACGGCCATCGGCGTCGCCACGGCCGACGGCGTCATCCTCGGCGTCGAGAAGCGCGTCACGTCGACCCTCCTCGAGACCTCGTCGGTCGAGAAGATTGTCGAGATCGACCGCCACATCGGCTGCGCCATGTCCGGCCTCCAGGCCGACGCCCGCTCCATGGTCGAGCACGCCCGCGTCGAGTCCCAGTCCCACACGTTCAACTATGCCGAACCCCTGCGCGTCGAGTCGGCCACCCAGGCCATCTGCGACCTCGCCCTGCGCTTCGGCGAGGGCGCCGACGGCGAGGAGACCATCATGAGCCGGCCTTTCGGCGTCGCGCTGCTCATCGCCGGCTACGACGAGGACGGCCCCCAGCTGTACCACGCCGAGCCCAGCGCCACCTTTTACCGCTATGACGCCAAGGCCATCGGTTCTGGCTCCGAGGGTGCGCAGGCCGAGCTGCAGAATGAATACCACAAGGTTGGTCGGACTCTCACATCACCTCGCGCGTAATCCTCGCAGTGTGCTCCGCTAACACCACCGTGTCTTCCCCCTAGTCCCTCACCATCGAGGATGCCGAGACCCTCGTCCTCAAGACGCTGAAGCAGGTGATGGAGGAGAAGCTTGACTCGAAGAACGTCCAGTTGGCGAGCGTGACGAAGGAGAAGGGTTTCAGAATATACACTGACGAAGAGATGGCCGCCGTCGTCGAGCGACTTCCGGCGAACTGATGATTGAATCGTATCACGAATTAAATAGAACCAGCCAAGGCAGTCTGGTACAGCAGCAGCAGCAGCAGCAGCAAGAAGACAGACAGGTGGGTAGGAGGCATGTCCCACACAATCAGGCAGGCCGCCTTCAGAAAATCTGCCTGTGTACCATTAGGGGTGTATTGAACGACATGTATGCATGTAGATGCCTGCGCCGCCAAGCCTGTCGTGATGTGTGCAAGAGACAATTCCGTCCTTGTCAGTGAAGTCGTTTCAAAAGGGCGCGGGTCCCGTCAATGGGGGAACAGGGGTCAGATTCCTGGATCAATGGAGCAACGAAGCTCGTCTCCCAGTCAGAGTGCCTGATGTGCGACTATCTACAGCATTTAGTTACCTTCCTTCAGATCTAGCCTGCTCAACTCCTGTTCAATACCAATCAGACCAATGGCATATGCCGCCCTCTCTGACCGAGCCACCGCCAGCTTGGCGTCGTCACCGTCAAGTTTCTCGATGCGCGCCATGATCTTTGGGGGGCCCCTGATCATCGACTTGGGGATCTCATTCATGAGATTGGGATCCCTCGTGTATGGCGGCCCCCGCCCCATCTCAGCCGCCTTGCGCCATCCAGACTCGCATCCTTCAGCAATCATTCTTGCCGACTGCCAACCTGTCAATCGCGCGATATCGTGCAGCCGCTTGATGATCCATTTTCGTTGAACGTCATCTTGGAACTATAAACCAGCTGTCAGTCATCTGGGAATCCGGGCATAGGGGAGCAGCTGGTTTTGTTCCTTACCTGAATGCCAGATACGAAAAGAGGCAGGGAGCACTCGACGAGGGCCGCACCAACCAGCGTACTGATCTCAGTCACATCTCTCAGGTCGTCGCAGAGGCCTGCCGCGATTCGCCCAATTTCTTGCGCAAAATGCGCCGTGTGCCGCGCCTGAATGCCCTGGGCGATCATAGCTGCGGGCGGCATCATGGGGTGTGTCCGGTACAAGTGGATCAGACACATGTAGTAGTTGAGCCAGACTCCAGCGACAGAGAAGGTGCGATATTGCAATGTTGGCCCGAACGGCGAATCTCTGCGGTCGGCATACTCTGGGCCGAGGGGTTCAAACTCTGGTCCGAACCTCGCCCGCAGAGTCTCAAATGCAGCCCGAATGGCCTCCCATTCGCGCATGGCCTCTGCCGTGCCGCTTTCGAGATCAATTTCATCCGGATTCTCTTTTGGCGGTGATCCCTCACGCGGTGGGCTGAAACCCATGGGGAGGGAGGTCTTTCCAACATTGGGGAGCATGCCGGGGAACATGGGGGGTGAGCCACCCGGGGGACCGCCTGGTGGCCCTCTGGGAGGGCCGCCAGCCATACCTGGAGGGCCCGAGGAAAACCCTCCGGGCGGTCCTCCTGGTGGTCCTCCGGGCGGTCCTCCGGGCGGTCCCCCGGGGGGCGCACCGAACATTCCTGGCGGCATGCCTCTTGCAGGGCCGTCTCCGGGGAGGGCTCCAAACATGCCTGGGGCCATACCCCCAGGTGGCCCACCAGGAGGACCCCCTGGCCCGAACATCCCTGGCGGCATGCCGCCTGGGAAGCCTCCAGAAGGCGGCCCAGACATGTTTGGCATGCCACCGGGAGGTATCATACCGGGAAGCGCTCCGGGTGGGCCCATCGGGAACCCACCAGGCGGTCCCCCCGGTGGCCCCCCTGGCGGGCCTCCGGGCGGCCCCGGAGGACCACCTTGGCCTCTGCCCCTCCCAGCTCCTGGCGGACCACCCATCATGCCAAAGGTCTTCAGCGACTTTCTCTTACGAGGCAGATCTTTCGCGGCGAAGGTCATGAGGCGCGCCATCACCAGCACGAGATGATCATAGGTGCCGTAGCTAGTATAGTCAGCAAACAATCCGACACCCGCAACGCACGCGGTTCTACTCACATTGCCTCCAATCTTCCCATCGGTGCTCGCGGAGGGCACTGTGTCCAGTGCTCGTACTCCATACTAAGTGCTCTGTCAGCCGGGTTGGATCGATGAAGATGTGGTTGAAGAAACGTACAAGGGCTTGCCACCTGAGAGAAGTCCTTGGTAGACATCCATCTTAGAGTACCACCAAAAGAGGTCTCGTAGGTGCTCATACTGCTCGATATCGCGGTCCGTGTAGTACAGCCCCGAGAGCGTGGTGCCCTCGTCGTAATCCACATTTTGGCCTGTGATCTCGCTCAAAAACCCCAAATCGAGGTCATCAAGGTCAATCTTGTCAGCCTCGCCATTATCGTGACCCATGAAAAAGGGGTCTAGGGGTTGGTTTCGTTCTTGCTCAAACATAGCTCGTCTCGCTCTTTTCAGCGGTAGTATGTTTCTGGTCATGTCTCGGAATGGTATCTCCTTAAACAACAATCTCGCTCCGAGAAGATGTTGACACCAATTTGAATGGTCCGAATTCCAGACCTCGAAGAAAGCCAAGAGCAGCGTCGAAGCCAGCGTTGCAGGCTGGGTCCTCTTGGTATGGCTGCGAACGTTGCGGGCAATTCGTCTGATAGCCAGGTGGTAGTGCTTCATGGCTGCCGTCGGGGGCAACGCCTTGAGCCTTGCGATCTGTAATGACCCGATGGCTAGCATGGATTGCAGGAGTGCGGGGTGATGGAAGGCAACGATGGGGAAGGTGTCTAGAATTGTGAGTTCATGCCCCATGCCCCGAAGATGCTACAAGACTTCACTTACATGTCCAGATGCTATGATTGGAGTTGGGGGCTTGGTGGTTACCCATCATCTTTTCCTTGTGATCGAAAGGATGTCGTTCGTAAAGAGACATACTCGGCCCGGTAACGTTGACGAAGTGCCAGAAAAGCGCAGCCGTCTTACTGTCGTTCAAAGGCGAATTAATCGCCTGCGGAATGTATGATGTGAGGGTTTCGTCGTTCGCAAATGCCGTGAAAGTTCGCATCTCCGTGCCGAACCCGTCCAGAGGGCCATCCATGTGGCTTTGCACCAAAGTTCCGTATGTGCTCTCACGCGGGAGAGCCTCGAACTCATCCTCCGACTCACCCATCGAGGCGTCCTCGTCTGAATACACATGCTCCCATTGGGTTCGTTCTTGCACCTCGTCCATCGCAACCTCAGTCTCCTGAAACCCGGGACCGCTTGCCGCAATCTCATTGTGCGCGGCGTAGCTTTTCGTCTGAGTATGGCTCGAATCCCCGAAACCATGAAATCCATCCTCTTCCTTTGCGGGCGATGGAAGATACTGTTGGCCCTCGCTGTGCTTCCGCTGTTGATGCACGGACGCAGCAGGCGATATGTACGCCGTATTCGCTGGCACCGGAGGTTGCTCGTAGGAGCCCTGGTTGAAGCTATACGTCGACGACGCCGCAGCGCTTGGCTGATGTTGTTGGTGTGCCTGATAAGATTCCCCATAGGGAACCGGTGGGTAGTTCTGGAAATCGAGTGTCATTGGGGGCTTGGGGGCAATGGCAGCCAGTGGAGGGGCGTGCGATGAGGGTTTCGACTGCTGATTTCCGTGAGAGACAAAATTTTGCTGCTGCGTCGACTCTGGAGGATAGACAACGGGGCCAAAGGAGCCATTCTGGAAGGCTCCGAGAGGGTCCTTGAAGATGACGCGTTGGTTGTAACCTTCGCAGTTCCTCTTCGACTTGGTACAATTATGCAGATGGGCCTGCCCTCATCGCACTTGATGCGGCGCTTTCGCCAGGCTTCATGATATGTCAGAGGCTAAGAGCAAGGTGGGGGGGGGGGGCAAGAAGGGCGACCCTTTGTGCACTAGGGGCCCCAGAGGACAACATACTTAAACAGCCCGTCTTCGTCCTCTTCCGAACAGCAGCCTTCTTGCGAGCTGCCTCATCCTGGTCGTCGTTGTCCCTGTCATCCACTGGAGGCTTGATCGGGGTTTCCTTTGCCTCCTGGGCAGCAGGCGATGCTGACGAATCCATCTGCGTAGATGCTAGTCTGCTAGCGACGTGGGCTGGCTCAAGAGGAGTCGCATTCCACGAAATTGAGAGTCAGGTCGGAGGAGCCACTTGACATAGCCGTTACTTCAATGTCAAGGCGCCAGCAGCAATCCGTTGACTGAGGCCGCCGTCGCGCCTGTAAGTGCACACACAAGTCGACGGGCGTGAGAAAGCACCCTGGAAAGGTACGGGCGGGCTTCCGGGAGGACGAGCGCTTCTATGCTATATGTAATGGAAGCAACCGAAACATGCCGGTGTAACCTGGGATATTGGGGATAGGGCTCGTTATGATTGTGGATGCGGTTGGACAAGCAGCGTGGGCTCGTGCTCCATTCAGGTTCAGGACAAGAGGGCTTGAGGGGTAATTGGACCAGGCCTGGGTCAGTCTTCGGGATGTAGGTGAAAACTGTCTGCGATGGAGGAATGCGAAAGAAGAAGGGCGCGGCCTGACGAGGCTCACTTGCTCCTTGAAATTCTGACCGCCCGAGTTCTGTCCGGATTGTTGGGTAAGAGACGGAAGTCGACTGATGAGAGCGCGGCGATTTTGGACCCGTCTGTCAAGCTGGCATCGGAGAGGGATGGATCGCGTGTGTCCGTCCAGCTGGCGCTCAATCCTTTAGATACTCGGTGATTCTTGTGTGATGCAGAGCGGACATGGGTATTCGCGTTGGCGGCCTGCATGAAGCAGGAGCCGAGGAATAGAGAGGGGCGACGGACAGGGACAGGCAGACTTGGCGAGAAGAAGAAGCACGAGAAAAGGGTAAAGGGGCGATTGGAGACCAGCCAGAAGATGAAGCTCTGAAGATGATGGAAGGATTTAGAGTGAGTGGGGCTGCCTTAGACTTTGCCTCTTCGGTACAACGTTTGAACAGAGGTACCTCCCCTCGCCGTAAGGTAGTTGCGCCAGTGGGTGTACCCTGAGCCGGAGAACCAACGACGGCGTTGACTTCCATTAATGAGGTTGGGCCAGGGGATTCGTTTTGTGGGGGGGGGTTGTTTGCCCAGGGATTAATCCCGTGATGGAGGGGGTCTTGCAAGGCTTGTGCCGGAGGGTTTTGCCAGTTCAGCGTTCTCCAGAACAGGGATGCGGACTCTTGTCTCTCAATGATTCACCTCTACTGTAAGCACGTAGGTGGGCTGCTGAGCAGTACGGCGCCCATGTCCTGTCCTGTCGTGTCACTCTGAGTTGAAGAATCCCCTCGCTTCTCTCTCCTTCGTCGCTGCCTTCCCAAGTGGTTCCTCGGATGGTCACTGTTCGGCCGGCATGTCTTGGCATGTGCTTTCGCTGGCAAACGACCCGCAGCGATGTGGCCTGGACCTCAGAGTGGCTTTGGGGCTAAATGGGTTGATGATCATCCGAAAGAGGTTCGGTCACAGATTTCTCGCCATCTGTGTCCCGGTCTAAGGAAAGCTATAGTGGATCAGAGCGCACGTCCAGGTGCGGGATACAGAACAAGAAGATCTGCGACTTGCCTAGGGCAAGGAGCAGCTCCCGGTCTGGCCGCGCTCACTTCTCCCAGTCCAGTACATAAGCTTTTCGTGGTGCGAAACAGACTAATTGGTGGCACTCGAGCTTGTTCTCGGCAGTCGATAGTCTATGATTGTAGGTAGGCACGGGTTACTGATCGCACTGCTTTTGCGACGCCATTGTGGCCCCCCTCCACCCTTGGGGGAAAAAATAATTGCCGTCATAATGGTCCAGGGTGGTGAAGAACATGGCAGACGCCTACCGTCTTAGCTTCGGTTCATGGGGAAACCGACAGCTCGACTTGTCTACATACGGTGTGGTGCGGTACGCGATGGTACCCTGAAAAGGCCAAGTAGGGAGAAGACACTACCGGTAGACCAGGAGACAGGCCACCGGCATCAGCTGCCGACAGGCACACCTTCTCGCATACAACTGTGTCTTGTCTCCAGCGCGCGGCGCTGATTTGTTACGTGGTTAGGCCTGATCTGGGCTGGGTCGGTAGTTGTGGGAATGGCCTTATCTCACCTACACCCTCCTCGGCTGCTTCGGTCCCCTCCAGTCGTCTGAAGGCTTGACCGTTGAGCATCCGTGCAAGGGAGCTTCCCAGACAGTCAGTGGTTGAGCCAGCAGTGGTCGCAAAACAGTGGGCATGCCAGGCGTGGAGTCGTCAGGTGGTTTCGGCTTTCCCGTGCAACACAAACCACCACAGCGTTGCGCAGGGGCGGACACTGCGAAAAGCTGTTGGACCAGTGCATCCACGAATACGACCTGCGATCTGGGCGCCGTGGACCATCTGTTGTCCCCACACACCTTCTTGATTGTCAGGCATGACAAGCACCAGTCGGGGACGAATGACGGGGTGTCTTCACCGCAGTCAAAGGAGGTTTCTTTGTTGTTCGCAACTGGGGGAGGCTCGTGTAGAATCGCGTCATGACGTGGAACACGTCCACGACTCCTCCACACACAGCCATTGCTCAAACCGAAGAGAGGTGATCCAGGCGATTGATTCAAAGTTGTTGACATGGATGCACAGCTCGATCGGAATTTGCATGTACCGAGGCACCCCACCCTGTCTCGATGGAATCAGATTCTGGTTGCCTCTCTAAGCATGGCAGACTGACTGCAAGGGCCGGCCGTTGTAGTGGGGGACAAGGGCCAGCGGGTTAGATTCCCCAGTGTAACCCAAGTATTGACACCCATCATCTTACTTACCTAGCTTGAACTGAAGGCAACCAGAACACGGCACACCAGCCTCGATGCTGCTGGAGCGGCAGGCTTCGACTGATTCAGCAGCTACCTAATGACGTGGATTGCGCCATGCCTACTCTGCTCAAGGCTCATGTTGAGCGCTATGTGGCACAGTCTTGTCGTACCTCAGAAACATGAGGCAGGAAGACAAGCAAAGAGGTAGGTACCTGATGTCTCACCATCCATCATAGGATGTATGAATGGGACACAAGATGCATCCACAACCACAGGCTCGGAACAAAATCTGTGTCTTTGGTGTTGGGCCCGACTTGTCAACAACAGATGCTGCGGACGCCCAGGCTCCCGGCGCCATGAGCAAACTGACCTGGTATCCCGCAAGCAAGCGGAGGTACGGCGACAAGGCACAGAGTGAGAGGCGGTCGGTGCTGTTCAGGACGGGTGCCTGCTTGCCTTGGCCTGTACTTGGAAACGCAAAGCCGAAGTTCGGTCTTGACATGCAGCAATACGAGAAGGACAAGCTCAAGGGGGTGCATTTCCGCGAGTCGTGTGTCTCTCGCACGAGATGATTTCGCTGGGCTGGGCGTCCTCGACAGCTGCATGACTTTATAGACCTTGGCGGCGTACCCCAATACGGACCCTCGATCTCTTAGGGCAAGGCATTGTCCGCATCTCTCCCGAGACCGTGTAAAGAGCGGTGGGCCGTCTTAGGACTTGGTATGGTAGCAACTTCAGCGTGCT